AAAAAATGTCAATATTTAGATCCTTGAGGACTCCAGGAAATATACTAGATTATCCCTTTCAGGACTGAAAAACACATGGAGCTTTCAGATTATTGATTATGAGAACTCCAGGTATAAATCAATATAGTATGAAAAAGTTTAGCAATGATTTTCTCTTCTGATTTTTTAAAAATTGCCTGCTGCCATCTGCTCAAAGACTTAAGAAGCCCTACAGAGGCTTAACGTATGTTTGTTATTATTGCTATAAATGACAGAGTCCATAACCAAAAAATTAGAAAGAACCTAAGACATAGTACATTTTGAAAGTTAATCGAAGTAAAATAAGTAGAGTGCAAAACATAATACATTGTAAAGTTCAAAATATTAGCTGCTAGCATGTTATTCCCTGTCGTATGCCTAAAAAGTCACTTCTTAATGACCCCTTTGCAGTATTTTGATTTCTCAAAACATGTGAGGCTTTTTTTCTCTCAGCAGTAAGTCATACAATCTTCTCCAAGTAGAACATTTTAGCTTCTCTCCAATGTCTAAATGACTGTGCCTGAATTAAATTTCCTTTCCTTTAACTTTCCTGAATTAACTTTCCTTTCCTTTTTAGAACACGCCTCCATCGCTGGTACAGCTTGCAATATCAGCTCTCAACAACCTCTGCCAAATGCTAACCGGATCCTTTGGGTGATAAGCAGACATCACCAGCACATCAGAAATCAAGTATGGCCCCCGGTCAGAATCAAGTTCAGTGTTTCAATGTCAAAGGCTTCCCCACAAGGGACTGAGAGTGCCTCTTCTTACTTGTTCCAAGCACGTCACCTTCTTTCACTAAAATGTCCTAAGTACTTAAGCACACTATTTTCTATTATTAATGACCCATGACCCATGAGTCTCCAGGACCTCTTACTAAATTAATCTGAGTTAAGTTAGATGCCCTCATTTAACTGAGATCCCACATGTCCAGAGCTGGTTGGAGAAAAAGTAAAACATCAATTCCACATTCTTATAAATACTCAAGTTCACATACTTTCATCCACAGTTCATTCTGTTAATGTCAGCCTTCATAATTTATTGACCATGTAAAAATATTTTAGCATGGAAAATGGAGAAAATCAGTGAGAATAAATCATTCAGTGCTCTTCCACAAGCCACAAGGCAGTCCAAGACCTTCATTTTGAATGTTACATTCAAGTGCCAGTTGAAATAAATTGGTTAGCAGTTCATCATGGGAGCAATTCCAGAGCTCATTCATTTAGACTCTAAGGACTTTTCAGTGTCACCAAAAGCAGCCAACACCTAGTTGGTGACCTTGGGAAGAATACAATATTTGAAGATTTGAAAAAAAAAAAATACAATGTGAGCTTCAGGCCTTAAAATTCATCATCTAATTTCCTCTATCTCCTTTTCATTGGGTAGGAAACATCTGTCAACACATGTGCCATTGGTCTATTATTATTACTAATGAGGTTAGTGAGCTCTCTCTCCACACCCCCACAGAGGAAAGCTGTTCCGACACATATGCAGGCACCACGGGGTGATGTACGATACACAAGGGTTAAAGCCACTCATCCCTCAGCCCCACCCCTATGAATCTACCTAGAGGTAAACCATGCATTGTTTCAAACCACATGACTCTTTCCCATAATCCTGTATATTAGGAATTCACATGGTAAAAGTTCACTTTGTTATTTTTTTCCCTAACAGAACAACATATGCTATGCTTACATTTGAAAGCAATCTCAGGGAAAGGGCCTGCATGTGAATGCACTTGGCTGCAAGTTCACGTTTCCCTTAGACAAAATTGTGAGCAAAACACATGTTTTTCCATCTAAGTTAGAAAATGGAAAATCATGCATTATTTTTTAGGCCTTTGTGGCATGCAGTTTAAAATCAGTGCATATTTCTTCATGCACATTTTCACAAATGTCAATGTTGATACATCCGTCAGATGGGATGTGTTCAATCCCTTCAGCACCTGGAGAACTTTTACTCTTGAAAATATTTTTTCCTCTTAACTTTTCAATTTGCTCCTGAGAAATGTAATTCTTTTTGACTAGTGATAAGTGAGAAACAGAACCCTTCATCTTCATTTCCTGCTAAAGGAATAAGAACATTTTTACCCACTGACGCTTAATTCCAGATAGATCAAAGAATGGCTATTTCACTCACCCCTACACAATAAATTCTCCAGGTCCTCACAAAACTCAAGGAGGAAAGAGAAACTAATGAGCCACTAACATGTGATAGGTGACATCAGATAATGTGTATAAGCAGGTATGACCCAACCACAAATACACTGCAAATAAACCAGAAGGAAGCATTATTTTGTCAGAAAATTACTCCTTTCTACCTGTGTTTAGTTAAAAAAAAAAAAGAAAGCAAGCTTTTTCTAAAATTCTATTTTTTAGAAGATAAAATGTGGCTCGAAGAGGAAAATTGTAGGCCTTCATTTTAGCTACACACATTTAAGAATAAGATTACCAGGAAGCCAATCAGACTGATTGGAAAGGAGAGAGGAAAGGACATGGCCCACGAGTAAAATAATCTATTCATATAAGGAATGGCAGGATGCCAGCAATGGATTTGTATAGAGAGCGACTTCCCTCAATTTATGAAGACGGGGACGAGGTAAGCAGGCTGTGTATCGTTTGCAGTAAGTACCTAGAGAGGATGGTAGAGTTTTATCTTTACTTCTTTCAAGTAAAGACTTCTTTAAAGTACATGATCGATTCTGAAATGGGATGGGCAGAAAAGCTATCTGCTGAATTGAGAAAATAAAGTAAGTTGGAACATTTTATTCAGTTACTTGACATCTGAGTAATATAAGAAATAGTGGCTTTTAAAATCAAGAGCAAACTTTCATTTTGCGATATGCTGTCAAAATCAATGTGCCTTTATGCAGCTCTTTCTGCGTATCATTTCTCATGTCTTTGGCTAAGACAAAATATAATATTTCTAGGTTAGATGACTTTATATATTATTAGCAAATGACTTATACCTTGGAGAGGCAAGTATTGAGGTTACAGGTCAGGGTCAGGCCTCTTGACCTAAAAAATATATCAAAACTTATTCCTTTTCTACTTCAAATTAAAGGATGAATGTACTTTCTTTTAACGACAAAATAGTACAATGCGTTAGGCAATCTTTATCTTTAAATCTGTTATAACTTTGTTTTAAAATCTGTTATAACTAAAGGGAGCACTAAAAGCCTTAACTCTTAGTAGTGAATAGAAATAAATAGGTTGCACAAATATAAATATTTACTCAAATGAGCAGCTCAGTCATCAGCATTTACTCCAGAGTTTTCAGAGCATGAAGTAAAATGAAGTTGGTGGTTAACTAGCATTTCAAATTATAAAATCAAAATTAAGCTTTCTTTGAGCATAAATATAGGGACTACAAATTTCAAACAGGATCAAGTACCTCTCCTAACAACCCCTAAAGGGGTTCTTCCAACATGACAATGTCTAACAACAAGACTAATTCAAATGACTTGAATCTTGGCTATGGAGTGAGCAACACGCAGTTCACCAACATTTAACGTAAGTATAAGCAATCACAGCAAACTGTAAGTCATGCACAGGCACACATTCAGTGTGTCTGCTGGTCAGTCCTCACTAGCAGCTGGTGGGGCTCTAAGCCTGGGGTAACCTTATGCTCTGATTTTGTAGCTGAAAAAGTTTCATTGCAATAGTGCCCGCTTTTATTCTCAAGAGTCACAGCTTAGATTACACATTTTATGGCTACATTATCTAAACCCCAAGTGGTTGATACGGTGTCTCTCAGCATGAATTCTCTTATTTTCTTGTTTTCCACATGTCTTGTCCTTGTTTGGCTCTTATTAGTCTGGCTCTTCTGGGTAACAATATTAATATACTCAGTAAAGTAAATGAAGAGCTTGTAAGTTTCTCTGTGCATAATTGCTCAAAGTTCAACCCTTCAAAAAGTCATTATTCCCTTTCCATAAAGAGATCAGCAAGTACATGTCTTATGGTCTGACTTCTGTTACTAATTGCTATCACTTATATACATATAACCCAAATTCTTCCAGATGTCACACTGTGCAATGCACTCGAAGCTTCCATGATCTGGGGCTGCATTTACCTGCCTGAAAACTCTTCACCATCACTCAAAATAAGTTTCCTCTATTTTTGTGTTCATTCACAATTGTCCCCCCACCCCAAGGCATCAGCAGCTATATAATTATATATCATTACAACTGAACTGCAGGAATGAAGTACTAAGTTCCCCACCCAGGATACACTGCTGCATGGATGAAGCCTTCGCTATTTACTTCTTCGTGTCTATGGCGGGCTAGTTACACCTGGGAGTCAGAAATGATATTTGGACACTATAATTATAAAGAATTTTTTGGTAGAAAGGAGCTGGATTTGAGTTGCTCGGGTCCAATTCTTGGATACTGACTCAGGGACATCAGCCATGTTCACATTCAACTCTGAGCAGTGTCTCTCATACAGTATCAGCCCGGCCTCTGGAAAGCTGGCTGTTCCAAGTTTCTTTGCAGAGCCCTAAAACCTAGAGCCAGACTAGACCTACAATCACTGTACGGAGAGAGGCTTTCCTGTCTCAAAAGATCCGGGTGGTGGGAATGAAAAGAGTGGGAATGATACAGGCAACAGCAAGCAGTGAAAAGTCGTGATGACAAATGCCACCAGCGAAGATGACAGCCACACCTGGGGCATCAGAGCTGGTCATTTCTGACAGGTTCTGGCAGCAGCAACAGCAGCTACAGAGCACAGCAGCCAGGGGTGGGTGGAAAGGACACTGCATCAGTAGCAGCAGCCAGAAACCATCAACTCTGACTAGTGGGGGGAAGACGGCAGGGGATGAGGAGTAAGGAGAATGGAGCTTAGAGTTAAAAACCACCATGTCATATCCTTGTTCTCTGAAGTCACCAAGGTTGGTGTGACCTGTAGAAACACAGATATTTGGGATAATGATCAGTCATCTATTTCACTGATAGCTTTCAGGCAGACACAAGCTTTCTGACACTTACAGTGGCAAGGAAACCATTCCCACGGTAGCCAAGAGAGTTGCACGTCTCTGTCTCATGAGGGTTAAGCAACAGTTGAAAGGAAAAAGACCGTCTGCTGAAAGCCTTTCCACAACTGTGTAACTGAATACTCACACCAGCTCTGCAAGTTTTGTAATCATGAAACCCATTTTATAGATGACTAAGAAGGGTCTTGGGAAGAGTTAAGTGATCTGCCCAAGTACACGCAAATAAGGGCATAGCTAAAATGTGAATGCAGGTCTGACTAACCCCAAAGCCAATGCTCTTTCCATTTAAAGTCCAGGCCTCCCTGGGAATCTGCGACAAACAATGGAAACAATCACCGCAGACACCCAGCCCTGCTCCCAGTCCACCTCCCGCCTCCTGCAGAGGGAAGCAGATGTTGAGTAAAATATCCATAGTTCTGGGCTCTGAAATCTTCCATTTCTGAAACTGAAATCCCAAAACTGAGAAGTTGCTGACACTGCTGCTGAGTCCTGCCAAGTCCCCTGCTCTGAGGGCAGTTTGGTGTAAAGAATGCTGATAATCACTGTAAACGGAGGAGTATGACTCTCAGCCCGGGAAATGAGGCGAGTGCATAAGTAGTTTTGGCAGCAGCATCTCTACTGTGGTACTGGGAGGTACATGCTTTTCACATAGAAAATAAAAAATAAAAATAAACAGATTGTCTGGAAGTCTTCCAGCACCCCCATCTGACCCCCAGAGTTTATAACTCAGCATTCTTCATCCCAAATGTGGTTTTCCCTGTTAAACGCTTGCAGAAGCCAGGTGAGGTATTTGTTGCTCGGGTGGATGGTGACGATATCTCAAGGGCACTGGTGGGACACCAGGGAGTGATGTGTTTCTGGTTGCTGTTAGTCCAAAGGACGGGATGAGGTTCCTTCTGAGGCAAGCAGCATCAGCAGTTTCACGTGGAAGATGGTCATCCCAAAGAAAGCCAGCCTTTCTCAGAAAGGACAACACAGTGGGAAGTCGCTTTAAGCCCTTCACTGACGTCAAAGAATGAAGGAGAATTAGAAGACTCACAAGCACGGGAGGTCCGTTTCACTCTTTAGTTGGTAGGTAATTATTTAGACGTTTGAAGTGACAGCAGGGTGGTCTTCTCCAATGCTAACACACATGAGAACTGACTGGTCCTTAAAATGTCATTACATTGAAGCCATGAGACTATTCCTAACAAGTGGGAATCCATTTCTAATATTTCTTTTTTGTATCTTTCCATAGTTAAGTCTGTGGAAGAAGAAGACATTTCCATATTAGCACTAACATTTATTGAGGATCTACTCTCTGTGCTGGGCTTTTAGTGTATATTCTCAGTTACTCTTTACAAAATGCTTGTGAAGTATTTTATAGATCAAGTTGATTCTTACGGGGATTCTCTCTTCCCCATTTGGGGTTGCTTATATGTGTTATTTAACTCAATCCTCCGTAAAGTGCATATGACTGTCTCCATTTTATAGACAGCAATAGAAATAATCAGGAAGAAGTGATTATTTAGAGATAATATTAGTTATCCTATACTAAAAATTACTGTATGACAAAGCAGTGTTCTAAATACGTTTCATGTATTAAACTACTCACTGAAACAAGTACTATTATTATACTCATTTTACACATGAAGCATTTGGCTAAGAGAGTTTAAGAAATTTGCCCAAAATTATACCACCACTAAGGATTAAAATCCAGGCAGTTGGATTTCAATGTCTGCCATTTTAACCTCTGCATAATATTTCCTCATGACAGAGTAAAGTAAGACTCAGAGAAGCTTAATAACTCATCTAAGTTCACACAGTTATAAAGAATAGACTGAACCCAGGCCCGGGGTTTTGTTTGTTTGTTCATTTTTGGTTTTTACTTCAAAGTCCATGTTTTTCCACTCCATCGCCAGGCTGCCTTTCTAAGGAGTATTTCTTTGGCAATGAAATTTTACCACAAAGCCCACAACACAAACGCTTAATCATTAACACTCATTGAGTTCTTCTGTGTATAGAACAAGGAAAAGAGACATTTCTGGGCCTGAAAACATTGCCTTTTAGGCACACTAAAAGGCTGAGAATGGTACTTCGAAGTTAAACAACAAAACTATGCAAGGTGTTATGAACCATGAAAATAAAATGGGCACTTTTGGCTTAGGCAAAGGTAGTATGGCTTGAAATAGTTCTTTATAATCTAAATTTCACTGATGGGATATGGAAATAAAATCTTGTTTCTCTTAGAGACAGCATTCCCCTAAGTCAGCTATACAGCTGAATGGCCAAATACTTGATCCACCCTGAAGTAAATTTTCAAATGATTTATTCAGGTACATGAACATGAATTCATAATGATGGCAAGCAAGCACTCTGTTCTTGCACATCTTAGTATGCTCATATTCACCCCTTTCTAGCCCTGAGATAGATCCAGAAAAATACATCCATTTGTATTTCTATAAAAACATTCTTAAATGGACTTTTAAACCGAAGTAAGCAACATGCTGTATCACTTACATATTTTGTTTAAATCCATAAATCCATAAGTCATATTTTATTAGTGAAAGTGTATTCTGAACTTTTATTAATTACACACATCTCTTGAAAACTCTGATGAGTATGTTTTCAGTGTAATTTGTATTCCTTTATCATTTCCCTTTCAATCCTTTCATATACACTGATTGTGATGAGATGAAGTCAAATGTAAGGAGTAATTTCATACAGAATACATAACTCATGCCCTCACCCTACCATGAAACAGACACAACACTGAACCCTGAAATGCTAATCTAAGTTTTGGTTTAAATGTGTGCAGTTTTCCTAATTCCAAATTCAATGTAAGCTACAGTCAAATGTGAAATATAATTTTATACATTTATGTTACCAAGACCATACTGTCCTATCATAACATCTGTAATTGACATTGAGATGGCTCAGAGGGGAAAAAAAAGCATATTGTGTGAAAGACAATGAATCTCATCTTTATTAGCACCTGAATATTCTGTATGCTTCTAATTGGCTGTGTTACTCTTAACTCATTTGCCATGTACTTATGGGCAACCACTTATACAGGATTATCTATAGTAAACTTAAATTAAAATATATGAATTATATGTGAAACTAATGCAAGTTGCATTATGTTGTAATTATTTGTGTATATACTTATATTCTTTATTAAATGATAAGATCTTGAAGGGTAGAGATCAACAAATTAAGAAATTTTTTATACTGTATGGTGAGTTAGTACAGCGTTTTGTACACAATATATTTTCAAATACATGTTAAATAACTGGATAGCTGTTTGTTATTTGGAATTGGATTTGACTGAATACACTGTAATGGAAAATCCAAAAATAACAGTGGCTTAAACAAGATAGAAGCATACATCTTTTTCACGCAAAAAAAAAAAAAAGATTACATAGGTAGGCAGTCCAAGAATGGTATGATAGTTTCACAATGTTTTGCATCCTCTGTCTTGCTACTCTACCATTTATAGGGCATTGCCTCAACATCTGGAGTGGTTGCCTGAAGTCTAGCCATCATATTTGTATTCCAGGGAGCAGAAAGAAAGAAGAGAGAAAAGAATATCATGCCCCACCCCCTTTTAAGGAGACTTCTAAGGAATCCTGAATCACACTTTCATTTAGATTTTACTGACCAGAAGTAAGTCTCATGGCCACACCTAACCACAAAGAAAGCTGGTAAATGGAGATCCATAGGTGCATGTTTTGGTGTGATTCAAAGTTTGATTGATAAATTATAAAATTATAAGAAGGAATATCAGGGAAGACATATAGCAGTCTGTTACAAGTATCCATTAAAGATGAACAAAGCTAACTATTTTTAATGGAATATGGAATATTTGAGAATATATTCCAAATCTTTAACATTAATTTTAACTTTTGGTTTCTTCCATTTATTACATTTCAGCACCAGCTTATTAGCCACATATTATATGTCAGATACTCTTCTCAGCACTGCGAGGTTTTCTCTGGGGAATTTATGATTAGAGTAGTCAGGACATTTTCTATCGACAGTGACAGAAATCCTATTCAAACTAATGGTTGTTGCTATTTTTTATCTGTCTGTCTGTCTGTCTGTCTATCATCTATATACCTACCTACCTATATTTCCTTTCTTCTTTGCTTTAGACATAGGTACACAGGTAGCTGTATAGGTAAGATATATGGATTTTAAAAAATAGTATGTTTTTTTTTGTATGTACTAGGCACAGTGCCAAGTGCTTGATGCGTATTAAACCATATAAATTCATAACAACCCAATGAACTAGGCAGTACAATTCTCATTTTGCAACTGAGGAAATAGGCACAGAAAAAAATTGTAAATGATGAAGCATGGATCAAATTTAGATATTCTGGCTCCAGGGTTCTCCTTCATAACCATATGCTATCCCACTTCTTGGAAAGAATGCTTTCTACATAACATACAAATATGTGTTTAGAAAGAAAGAAATAAGAAAATATATATAAAGAAAATTTTAAAAACTCATAATAACAACTCTATAAAATAAAATCTAAACAAACCTATTATAAACATCTTTCTTTTATTCTTTAAATTTTTCCACATTTTTATTAACTTGCTTTTATTTTGTCACCATTGCGAATGCATGCCTAATCTTCAATTCTATTTGTTTTGATTAATCATAATGATTATTCTCCTTGTGCTGCTCAAATTGACCAGTGGGAGCCCTCCCTCACCATGTAACTGCTTTATATTGTTAACAATGCCTCCAACATCATTGGACATACGACCTGCTTTTTGACAAGAGGATATTCCAGACCACCCTGAGTTTTCCACCCTTTCTGCTAACTGTGAACTTGATGGCTGGAGCTTAAGCAGCCATTCTGTACCATAAAGTATAAGCCTATCTTAAGAATGGGGGAAAAACGAACTAGATGAAGTCTTGTTCTGTTAGCATCTGCCAAAAAGTTCTAGTCTGCCTACTGCTACACTTAATGAGCACATGCGAGAGAGATAGGAGTGCATCAACTTTGTTTATGCCTCTCTTAGTCCTATTTTCCACAACTCACAGCTAAATCAATTCAAATTATAACACCTGGGTC